TCGAGCCCCGCATCAGGCTCCCTGCTCAGTGGGGAGTCTGTTTCTCCATCTCCCTCTGCCTGCTGCTCTGCCTACTTGTCCTCTCTCTCTCTGTCAAATAAATAATCTATAAAAAAAAATAATAATTTCATGCAACATAAGAAAATGTCTGTCTGAATACTGCTAAGCCCAGAGTCGATATAAATGAAATAAAAATGATCTCATAACCACAAATGATTTAAAACTGAAAATTAAAATAGTGAAACTGTATCTAATGCAAAACAAAGTCTGAATGAAAGGTGTGGTATAGTGGAAGAAGTAGCTTAAGATAATTTGAAACTCAGATATATGCAAATATATTTGCATATATGCAAATATTCAAGGTTATAATAGGAGTTTGATAAAAAATGGCCCAATGTAGTCCATTATTTGTCATTCCAATTGTGAATAACCAAGAAATATTCTGGAAGTTGAACAATGTGAAGAAACATAACACAGTTTTCCCTATTTTCTTTATACTATACTTATTTATTTTAGATTTAATATAAAGCAAAATAAAGCCAAATTAAATACTAGAAAGATCCATAACACCACAGGATAAAAGCCACACAAAAATTTGCTTTCCCATTTCATCAAAAAAATTCATATTGTGAGTTGGTTGCCTTCCTTTCTCAAAAATAGACTCTACAATTAACTTAATATTTTAGGCTACTGTATAATTCATAATGTTAATTTATATTCACCTCATTTATTTACCTCTGCTCACCTACATTTTAATCAACTTTTATAATTAAGGGGAATCATAAAGATGTTTATTACATTCAAAAGTATTCTCCTGGGGCACCTGGGTGGCTCAGTCATTAAGCATCTGCCTTTGGCTCAGGTCATGATCCCAGGGTCCTAGGATCGAGCCCCACATTGGGCTCCCTGCTCAGCGGGAAGCCTGCTTCTCCCTCTCTCACTCCCCCTGCTTGTGTTCCCTCTCTCGGTGTCTCTCTCTGTCAAATAAATAAAAATCTTAAAAAAAAAAAAAGTATTCTCCTTAAAATGACACAAAAAAGGCAATGTAACTAAATTTTCACAAAATGCTATCTGCTTTTTTTAAACAGATGTTTTATAGAAAAAATGGGAATATCTAGGAAAACCCGTATGCATACTTAAGAAAAAAGGAACCGTGAAAATTAAAACTAATGATTACTATCATATTAAATTAATTCAGTGGAAGAAAAGGAAAAATCTGATGAACAAGATCATGGAGTTATCAACCAGAGACAAATGTAAGAAAACAGCCAAAACAACAAAAAGTGGGATTCTATGGAGAAAAAAAAGACAAAAAAGGCATGCTATGAAATTTTGCATAAAGTGTGATTCCATTTAAATATATTCTGATTCATTTGAAGCAAGTGGGTGAAATTATTACAACCATATATTGGTTTAAAGTGATATTATCACATCTTCTTTTAAATAAGTATGTTCAGCCTATAACATATAAATAAGCTACAAAAATTAGGCTAAATTGAAGAGGTACATGTTTGCCAAATATAATCAAAGGCCAAATTTGCACCTGAGAAAAATTATTGCATCCAGAAGGCAACAAAATATTCTTTGTAATCAATACAGAAGACATTTCCAAAGTATAGGTTCTAAGCTATATAGGCCATAAGACAAAATTACACACAAGAATCAATTTATGGATCATCACAGTTCAACCTGTTTACATTGGCTTGTTTAGACATGATTGTCAATCTTTTCAAAGCATTTTCTAAGAGCATCAGCATTTGGGAAATGGTGATGACCTGTAGCCCCTTAGGAAATCCTAGATGTTTTTCAGGTGAAATTCCTCTGTAGATAAACATGCAAAATGACTTTCATTATTTTCTCTGAAGCAAAGCATAAGCAACTTCTGCAGAACACAGCCATACCTTTCTGGATGTCTTCGGCCATATATCTCTCCTTTCCATTTAGTTTCATTATTTTCTGCTCTTTGTTGCTGCATTTGATCAAAAATAGCATGATAATGTTCATACTGTCCTCGAGAAGAAAAAGATGATGGAGCCACAGCCCCTCCACTGCCAAAAAAGGGAGCCTAGGAATTAAACAAACAGCTCTCACATGTTTATCTCATAAGGCCCAAAAGGCCTGTACTACTCTCAAAAAAAAAAAGTTTTTTTTCAACACTTGACTTTTAAAAAGCAATGAGCTAATCTGAACATATGGATAAACAGACAACCCAAACCAAAATGTTTTCCTACTATATTATAACCATTAACAATCAAAAAGTAGTGTACTTTGTTACTAAGAATAAAGCATAATTTAAGAAAAATATAAAAAGACATTAAAACTGTAAATATTGAAAAGTCTGGTCTTCATAAGTTTTGAAACAAGTTTCTAGTACATATTTTATGATGCCATTCTATTAAGTT